TTAAACTCGTTCATTCGTGTTGGAATTCCGTCGGGAATCTTCACGAATCAACGGGTCAAAACCAATGGCGTTTTCCAACTTGGCGAAAGATTGACCAATTGCCCGTTACATTCCCATGTAAAGGGCGGCCAGTTTTCTCGATAAGGGAATCGAGCAGGCCAAAGGTAGCGAGAAAAGTCGCTTTAGGGAAAGCGTGCCAAGGTTTGGAAACTTGAAGATCACGTGGATCTGAAGATCCCTGAAGATCCTTCACAGGGAAATATTACAAATGTCGTCTACAGTTTCGTTGTCTTTCGCTTCTTTCGAGACAACGAGCCAGATTAGTTGTTGGCTTAGCAGTAACGAGTTTTTCTTTTTCTTTTTTTCTTTTTCCTTTTTATACAAACAAGTTTGAAATTACGAAAGCGGCAGAGGGGCTTTTCGAAGGCACGTCGACGAACAATTTCTTTTTCTCGGACTAGTATAGAAAAAAGAAGAGAAAAGCAAGTGGTGTAGATGCATTTACGACTTTACACGGATTTGAGCGGGGTTCGTTACGTTGCAGAAAGTCGAGCGTTTACACCGCTTACGAAATTAAGTAAAGCGAGTAAGTAAAATCGAATCTACGCGACGCAATTGTAATAAGAATAATTAGGATAAGTAGAGTGGAAGAGATAAAGACTGAAGTAGAATTTCACTTTGTCCCTCTCGATGCAGTTACCTTTTTTTCCAGCTACGATTGCGCAACGTTTTATCCCACGGATTAAAAACGTGCGCAAGAAGTAGCGAACGGCAACGATCCTTTTCTTCCTTTCTTCCCAATTACATCAATATTCGATCGTAACACGCGATACTCGCGCGATCGAGAGTAAATTTGAAATATTGGAAATATCTTGCCTCGTTTCACCATCGCGCCTCACGTTATGTTTTTTGCACGCGTCGCTACCGGCGTTATAGAATCACGGTTAGCGGCTAATTGTTGTGCTCGTTCAGTTTCACCGCACGGAACAATTCGATTTTCCTTCCTCGTGGCCGAATTCGATTCACCGTGCTGCGTGCTGGAAAAACACGCGAAGGAGAAACGTGAAGAAAGAAACAACTCTCTGTGAAGAAGGTTTAAGAACGAGTTTTTCGTGCAAGTGAGGAAAATCCTCGCGACGATTACGGTGTGTCCCATCGATGATGAATAAATTTATATAGAAGATAACGAGACAGGCCGAAGCGGGGAAGAGGTAAAATTTGACGAAACACTACTCGATGAAACGGTCGTTGCAATTCGCGTTACGTCAATTTCGTTACGCCGGAAATCGTGCTGAATTTTTCATTGTGCAATTCTGGCTGTGTTCTGGCCGACACGTCGTAATAACACGCACGAGATGCAACACGAAACGATTCGCAAGACGACACCGATCTCTCGAGCAAACGAGCAATTGAGAGTATTTCGGTATGAATTTGTTGAGTTTCAGTTTTCACAGGGTGTCGTGTCGCGGAAGTGGACGGAAGTGGAGCACCGAATAAGGGGTCCGAGAGGGTCGATCGCTGTTAGTGAAAGGGGTCCGTGTGCAATGCAATCGTTGTACGTTGTACCCCCGCCTCGTGTGTTGGTTCCCTAGGCCTGGGCAGGGCACCGCTATAAAAGCATACCGCGTCGACCCTCGGATAGCTAGTGTTTTCCCGTGTACTGCACAAGAAAAATCGCCTACGATGAAGTTTGTCGTAAGTTTCTGCCACTTGCGAATCAATCTCTCTCTCTCTCTCTCTCTCTCTCTCTTTATCGATGTTTCTCTGGATCTCCCGTGCTTGGTCCCCATTTCTTCATTTCTAAGCTAAAGCCTTTCCTTATTCTCTGACCTTTTTTTTCTTTTTTCTTTTTTCTTTTCTTCTTCTTTTTTTTTTTTTTTT